CGGGCACGACAACCGATAACGCTTTGCCGACCTACTCGGTCTGCTCCGTCTCTGTGGCTCTCGTTACCGTCTATAATACGGTTACCGCGACTGTCTACCAGACCGGCACAGCTCCTGTACACAAGCCTCGCGCGCCAACAGCATTGGCCGCCTGGTAGTTTGATTGCCTGCATGGGTTTCGGTTGTGATATATCGATGGAAGTTTATGGGGACGACATATTTCTCCCTTAGTAAGGGTGTTAATGGTGAAAAAGTAATGTCTACTGTAGTTAGGAAGGATTTCAATAATATCAAGATGTTTATGTCAAGCTTCGAGATGTATAAGTGACTGAAAGGGATTGCCTGGGGACGTTGAATTTACTAACCAGAAGTGAAAGTGTAAAATTACAGTATTTATACAACATAAAACGTCTGGGGTTCCCATTGTAAAATGATCGGGGGCTTGGAATAAAGACAAAAGAACGCTCGACTGAACAAGGCGATTGTCATGAGCGGTATCGGAAGCCCATGAAATCGTCCTCGTCCTCGTCGTCTTCGTCATCCTCTTCCTCGTCGTCATTGACTTCCACATTTTCTTTGCCACTGGCTTCAGCCGGCTTTTCGACAGGCGCAGTGGTGCCCGTAAAGCTCTGCTTCCTCAAAGCCTCCCGCTTTTCCTTTAATCTCCGAACCCGAGCCTCAAGCTCCTCCATATCCTCAAACTCCGTTTCCAGTGCCCGAGTAGCCTCCTCTTTCTCATCAAGTAGGTCTTTCTCCGCAAGCAGACGTCGTTTTGCTTGTTCCTCCTCCTCTGTCTTCGCTGCTGCTGCAGTCTCCTCAGCCGTCATGGCTGGTGCAGCAATGACGGCGTCCTCCGAATACGGTGCTGTTGTCGCAGCAATATCGGCCTCGAACGCTGCCCACTCGTCCTCGTCAACAGTTCCTCCAGCAGTCTTCCCAGTCGTGCCATTCTGTTGTGTTGCCGGGCCAGCAGTGACCGGCTTCGTCGGCAACTCCTCTTGTGGGATCAATGGCGAGGGACCGACGGGCTGCACAATGGGTGTCGAATTTGAAGAAGTCGCATCTCTATGCGCAGGAGTATGCGGGCGCGACGGCATCTGAATCTCCACCCCCTGTACTGGTGTGGTGGACGTTCGGCGGTTCAGCGAAGGTGGTGTGAGTGTCACGTCCTTGCGATCGTGGTCTGACTCGCCAGCGGACAGGCGAGCAGGAGTGCCCATATTCCCCTTGCTTCGCTTCTTCCGCACCGCATCGGCTGCGTCGTCATCTTCCATGTCCTCATCCGAGTCGTGTTTCCGCTTGTTTGAGGAGACTCCGTTCGCGGCCGCCGATCCGCTCGCGCCCGTGGACGCTTGTTGCACCACCTTGACCTTGGCCGTATGCCCGGATCCACGGATATGGCTGTCCCAAAGAGACTCAGACTTGATCGCCTCGTGGCAGAGGGTGCAGAGGAGCTTGCCCGCATCAGAGTAGGCGGCGTGAGGATGCTCGATTCGTCTGGCAGCACGTTGTTGACGGAGGAGGGATCGTACGTCGGCCATGGCAGGTATGAACGCGTTTTGACGATATCTAAATGTGCGCGGATGCTCCGCAGATTCAGATATGGCGAGGACTATGCTCAATGGCGAGGAGGCGTCGAAAGTCGGAAAGCCGGGCGAACTTGGATTCGGGCTAAGATTTGAATGGAAGCAACGCAAACGACGTAGCGTGGTAGCGAAGCCGTACCTTTGCTCTGGCCTGGAAAGTGGAGGTGACAAGGTGTAGGTGCCAGGTGGGCAAAGTTGGCGCCAGTTCGATTCAAGCACAGCGGGGTTAGCAGAGCGCGAAAGGCCTGCCGACGCTACCCCGGGTGCCCATAGCTTTCCAACCGACCTTGCTGACGGGCCTGACTCCTGCTGCCTCGACAAGGCCGATCTTCAGCTGTCCGTGCCTTCAAGGTCCCGTCGCGCAATTCGTAGTTGCATTAAACTCTCACCCACATTCCACCATTTCGACGCTACCGAGACAAATACACTCCAGGAATTTCATCACACGAACAACTAGGGAACGATTGCAACCCTTAACCGACCTGAGATTATCCAGCGGCTCTCAGCGACGATACCCTCGCCATACGCATGGCCGACAATCCAGAAGAGCCATCGCAAAATGCGCTGGCCTCGACGTTCCCCAACCCGCCGCCGTTCTGGAGAGACTTTACCCCGGAAAACGTCGCCAGGATAGAAGAGCTGCGAAAAGCGCAAGCAGAAAAGGATGGCGTTGCTGTCAAGAACTTGCCAGCCCGCATACCAGATGTTCCCGAAAGCCTCATGAATCTCCAACCTCCGGCTGAGCCGCCAGCAGGAACATGGAAAGTCTTGGGCGGAAACTATACGGTATGTCTTTTCGGCTCGTGACGGTTGATTTGAACCGGGGACGCTGATGATCCGCGTAGCTCGACGATAAGCTTCCTTCTCTCGAGGAAGGTGAAATCAAGCGATTGGTACCGGCGCATTCGGAGGAGAAGGACGGAAAGCATCTCGATCGAGCATTCGAGCTCAAGAAAATGGCCAAGTCTCTGCTGCTTAACTTTCTCGAGCTCGTTGCCGTCATGGCTACGGTGCCAGACGACGTAAGTGAACCGCGGCCTTTCCCCGTTTCCCCTCAAACTAACCAGTCGAAGGCTGCGGCGAAAATTGAAGATTTGCGCACCATCTTCATCAACTTCCACCACGTCCTGAACGAATACCGACCCCATCAAGCTCGCGAATCGGCCATTGCGCTGATGCAATCCAATCTCGATCGTACCAGAGCGGAAACAGCTGCGATTCGAGCACAGGTTGACACGGCCAAGCGAGTTCTCGAGGGCTTAGGAAGCATTGATACACCGAAAGTACCGGATATCATCAGCTCAGTCGTTGACGGCGAGCTGACTAGTAAAGAAGCGGAGACTTTTGTCAAGACAAGAGAACAAGAAGTATGGGGAGAGGCGGATGCTTTGTTCCTTTAGCAAGGGAATGACATATCAGCTGCTACATGTGAAGATAGCTTGAGGGCCCTCTTTCCACGGGTCTTTGAGCATCCTGGGGTTTGAATACACGGATTGGTCGGCAGAGTGGTGGCGGCGGTGATGAGCAAAAGTTTCGTAGTGTTTTCGGCAAGCATTGATACCCAATTTCATACCCGACTAGACTAGGGATGAGCCACGAGAAACGGGCGTCGACAAGACAAGGCAATGCAGAAGGAGATGGTCCCGCAACATGATATTGAATCAGACGACGACGTAGGTGCTCTTCACGGGGTTTGCAAGGGGCAAACAGCTTTGGAGTCAACGACGTAGACGATAGAATAGCCACAAAGGCAAATCATGAATTCATGCTAAACTCGTATAGCACCAGCGTCAAAGATATCAAAAGCAACAAACGGTATCAATCCTCCACAGCGTCGCTACATTCCGCCCTCCAGGAAGGCCCCAAATCCAAGCCAAATTGTACTTCTCACCTGCCGCAGCGGGATCCCCTTTACATGACGGTGCAGGGAATGGTGATGCAGCAGCACTCGTATCCGTCGCACTCGATGCACTTCGTCTTGCCGCCCGTGGCCTCGGCGGGCTTGACGATGCTGTCGATGATGGAAGTGGCGGCGCTGCCGGGGCCGTTGCGGTTGATAAGGCCGGAGGAAGCTGAGCCGCAAGCCATTGTGATTGTGGTTGGTGATGGAAGAGCTTGGTAGTGTGTAGATGGGAATCCTACGTTGTTGTTAGTTGCTAAAGATCTTGACTGTTGCACAGATAGATGCGCATGTGACGTCACGGCTGGAGCTCTCTTACGGATACTTACAGATGGCTACGTAGCAACTGAAGCAACGGTTGGACAGATGAACAGTTGAGCTTGAAGATGTCGAAAGAAGGTTGAAACGGTTCGAGCAGTTTTAAATTGAACAATGGAAGTCTACTCTCAAGGGAAAAGGCGGTCCAGACCCAGTCTCAGCCAGCCTTAAATAAAATGCACCACCCACCCCCCATGCCCCCTCAACCCAATGCTTCCCGTGTTTCTAAATCCAGCAAGGTTGTCGTCATGGCGTGGTGGGGTGCAAGGCATAAACCTGGCAAAATGCTGTGGCTGAACCGTCTTCGATTCGTTGGCCTGCTCAGCCAACCAGTGGCAGTGCGAACCGGGCTCCCGGGGCCGGGGTGTGTTCCCGATACCTACCTTGCTGTGCCGTTAAGTATGTATAGGTAGGAGTGTTTGCCGTCTTACTATTCGTTGTACACTGAATGCACCCGACAGTGGAAGATAGGTAGATAAACCGGACGGGAGGTGGGGGATTGGTTCCCGTCGAAAGAAGCAAGTGCTGTCTCTGACTTACTGCCTGTTGACAGCCGTTTCAGCACTTTAATGGGTCGCAGAGGATGACAGCCCGGGCTGTTGACTCGCGACAGACCCAGCACTGGAAATGACCGAGATGAGAGATCTTGGCGAGTTTAGTTTGCACTTTGGACTCGTTGGCGGCATCGCTTTGACCGAGTTCCACCACAAAGGCCAAGAATCAACGAATTGCCGTGTTCCGGGAAACGTGAACGTGAAGCTAGGAGAAGCCTAATTATCCATAAAGAACTCAACTATACAGTAGTATCTATCTGTACGATAGAGGGGGAGGACAAAGTAGTCGGCCAGGATCAATATCCTTCTTCCAACAGCTCTTGCGAACAAAGGTCGACTTTAGACTAAGACTGATTGTTGCCGACAACAGCTACTAAACCAAATCACGATACAGCTACACAAAAGGAACATGATAGAATAGCTTTGATTGCCCTATTTCAATACAGCTAGACAATGAACTCCATAGCAAATCCCCATTTAGCAAAGGCCCAAATGCCCCCTACGAGGGAGCGGTATCTCCGTCTCTCAGTCCCAAGACCTCGCGTGAAACCCAATAAACAGCTACCTATGTACCGCGAATGAGAGGATATACGCTTTTGCAAGCAAACTTTACTGGTTTGCCCATCCAATGACAACCCATGATCACGCCGATGGCGCAACCCCCTGCGCGCCTTGCGGAGCCGGAGAGGCAATATCGCTGCCCTTAGCAGCTGGCGGTTGTTTCTCCAACAGGAGGCTTAGATGGGTCAGGTCATTTCGCGCCCGCAGGTCTCTCTCCAAGATGCCTCGAACGACCTCCCACTCTGTCCGCGACATCTGGTAGGCTTGAGGCAGCAAGAACTTCATCGTAGGACTGTTGATCAAAGGGCCCAGAACTTCTTGTGCCAGCGCCTGGCCTTGTTGTTGACGTTGTTGGTTTTCGAGTTCAGCGCCGCGAGCGGCCGTATAGCCCGTGGGAGGCTGATTAGACGGAACAGCCTGATGTGCCCCTTGTGCTGGATATTCCTGTAAAGTGTGGACAGTGTTGCCAACAGGATGGCCCGGTTGCTGGAAGGGGCCCTGGGCAACCGTTGGCGAGAATGCCGGGCCAGATATCGAGGGGTGTCGTGGAGGGACGCCGCTCTGTGGAGGAGTTGGCACATTGGTGACGGGTGATTGAGATGTGGTGCCGCCCAACTGAGGCTGTCTGGGGGTATTGCGGTACACGAAGACAGCCAATAGCATAGGCTCCGTCCTCTTCTGAGGGACAAGGTTATCCGAAAAGTTGAGCATGAACTCTGGCATGTTGCTGTCCCCCGGAAGGACAGGAACCAAGTAGGTGTCCCTCACATTGCCCACGCCCTTATCTCCAACAACAGCGTAGCGCTTTTTCGAGACGAAATAGTCAATGAGGGCCTGGAACTCCCGTCTATAAACCTCGGACGACGGCGTTATTGCCACGACGACAATGTCGGTCTGGTCAGCGTAGCGCAAGCCGCAGAGATACTCTATCGCCTTCTGTTCGTCTATGCGTCCGGCAACCGTGAGTTTCTTTGGGATGAGGCTGGTCCAGGGCAATGCAATGGTGGTAGAGAGGTTGGCGCCACCAACAAACCTGGCGGCAGCGGGGAAGTCGGCAATCGAGCTCATTACCAAGTGGCCACGCCAAATGACATCAGGATCTGTCTCATCAGTTGGCGAATAGGGTGGAGAGTCCGTCTCTTCCTGCAGAAGTCTATCCACGTCTGCGTCAACACCGGGGCCATGGTTTGGCGCCGACGGCCGGCGATTGTGTGTGCCCGTGGGAGATTTGACGGTTGCGTAAACCTTGTTGATGTCGAAGTCGGGATGCTTGGGAGAGTGTCGGGCTCCACGGGTATCGATGTGTAGACCAGCATGGGCAGGAAGCTCCACTGAGTTCTCATAGTGCGATTCTCCGTCGGATTTGATGCCAGCCTGCCCCTCTCGGCCACTTGGTCGTCTTATGAAAGACCTGCGTTCGTCATTCTGATGGAAGGACTCGTTCTCGACGATCTCTTCGCCTTTGTGTGTTCTCCTCATACGAGGACCATCTTCGGTGATAAGGATTGACTGCTTCTCAGAGATGGCCTTCAGCTGAGCGTTGGCCTCCTGCCTCTCCTTGGTAGCCAGCTCGTCGGCAGACATTGTGGCTAGCATAGTTGGCGACAGAGTGCGCTTCAATAAGCGTTTGGTCAAGTCGCCGTTCAGCTTCATATTCGCATATAGGATCCGCGCCTGCATTGCGTACTGGCTCCGGTCCGGGTGTGCATCGTGAACCGCGCGTTCAATCTCGAGTGCCATACGCTCCGCTTTAGCTGCAATAGTGGTGTCTTTTGGGAGACTGATGGTCTTGTCCTTGACACCAGCAGTGAGGCTGCCGCCGACAGCCTTTTGCAGGAGTTGGGCGGGTCCCTTGCGATCCTCGGGGAGATCGCTGACCTTTGCATCTAGGTCGGCCGGTGCGGTGTAATTGACGACAGGGGATGCTTCTGGATCCGAGACTTTGCGTTGCTTTGGCGCAGGCGTCTAGAAAGCGTAGAGTTAGCAATGCTTCGCGCGAGGCTTTGGGAAGACGGAAGGCTTACCTTTGCTTCCTTTTCTCCAGTCTCCTCTCGCGTCTTGCGCTTGCCAGTGGCGGCCTTGGATGCGGCGTCCTTCTTGTCCTTCTTCTCCTTGGCGGGTTCTGAGGGAGCGGGTGAATCCTCGGCCTTGTTACTCCTCGTGTCTTGCGACAACTCTTCTTTGGGGTCGCTGGCGCGCTTTCCAGCTCTGCCGCCCTTCTTCTTTTTCTTCTTCTTCTCGTTCTGTTCGTCTTCGTAAGCCTTGCGGCGAGACTCCCACGGGCGCTCGCCTTGCTCCATGAGAGCCAGTAGTTCCTTGTGATCCTGAGGAGCACATTGCTCACAGTAGTAGTTTTTAGGGAGATCTTCCGTAAAGACACTCATACCCATGCAAACGTTGTGCTGCCATGCCGTGCATTTGTCGCAAGCGATCCAAGGCTCCTCTGAGTCGCCATCCTGCTCAGTTGCGCCGCAGACGCAGCGGATAATCTCTTCTTCTGGTTCCTCCTCTTGCTTCTTCTTCCTTCCTCGTTTCTTGGGCGGTTCGATAGGTTGGTCGTCGAAGGCCTTTGTATGCTGACCTTTGGTTGCGCGCACAGAGCGGCGAGGCTCTGGTTCTCCTTTACGAACCATACTGGTTAGATCTTGTTGGTAAAGAATGCGGCAGTGTAAGGTATGTGTGCGTGCTTGTGCTTGTGTGTATGTTTTTTGGGGGAAAGACGAGGGGTGGCTGGCTGCGGGGCAGCGTGAAGGTGGTTGCGACACTTACCAGACATAATGGCTTTGTTGCCAGCGGTGGCAGGAAGGAGAGGTGGAAGCGTTCAAACGTCCGTCTCCCTTTGTTGGGAAGGAGCGCGATGGTGCACCTTTGGGGGAAGGTACGGGATCTACTCCAGTTGTCGATTCAGGAAGGTCCGGTGTCCTCTGTCTTTCTCAAGCATGCATTGGATTTTACGGCAGAGCAGAGGAAAAAAAAGACTATGATATGTGACCCATCCAAGATACGCGCGCGACACCACAGGCTTGATGCGAAGAGCGCAGACCGCGCGGGAACCCTTCCAATCGTCCCTCTCGAGTGAGTTCCAACACAGATAAGAAGTATAACGTCGCGCGACACAGTTTGCGACAACGAAATCAAGGTCGATCGTGGTGGGAGCGATGTTCGCGTGCCGCTTTTTGGGTTGTGTGGGAGAGGAGCAGAAGGGAGCTTGCGCAAAGGTGGAGGTGATGGAGTGGGTTGCGGTGCGCTGCGCTGCGATAAAACGGCGCGAGGTTGGAGGGAAAATGCCGAACCGCCTCCACATCCTGTCATTAGGTAAGCGTCGTTAACCACGATCTTGGGCCCATCGCTCGGTGAGAAGTGCACGGATGCCGGGGAGGCGGGGGATGCATTGTTGTGGCCTTGATGCCTGATTACCTATTTTCGGTGAGATAGGTGAGAGAGAACCTCTGGCCCCCGTCTGAGGTGGAAAGCAAAACGATGAGGTAAGAGCCTCCCGGCAAAAGCTCGGACCATACTTACCTCAGCGGCTTAGCCCTCCCCCGGTTGCTCCCCCAGGCTGGCTAGCAGCGCAAGGAGCTAACGCGTGCGTCGATTGCCTGGAGCTTGCCTCATCGAGCTGCACCTAAAGTCGTAGCCTTCCCTGCAGACGACCAACAAACCATCTTGCCGCAACTTCACACGAATCCGATCGTCGGCTTCACAAACGAGATCAGTACCGCAATCGAATCCTCAGTCACAGCCAAGTGCAACTCGATTGCTCGCCCATCATGTCACGCAGATACGATTCCCGCGTAAGGTCCCTCCCCGCTCTTCCCTTGCTCTACGTCCCCTCCATCCTAGTAGGGCAGCAAGCTCACACTTTGTGTTAGACAACAATCTTCTCCCCCGAGGGCCGTCTCTACCAGGTTGAATATGCCCTTGAGGCTATCTCTCACGCTGGAACTGCCATTGGCATCCTCGCCAAGGATGGCATCGTTTTGGCCGCCGAGCGCAAGGTGACTTCGAAGCTGTTGGAGCAAGACACTTCTGCGGAGAAGCTGTACATCGTCAACGAGTACGTAGTTGTGGGCTCAGCACTATATCTCTAGACTCTAACGCTCTTGCCTCCTAGCAACATGCTTGCCGCCGTTGCAGGTATGACGGCTGACGCCAACATCCTCATCAACTATGCCCGTCAGGCCGCCCAAAGATACCTCCTCACCTACAACGAAGACATTCCATGCGAGCAGCTCGTCCGGAGACTATGCGATCTGAAGCAAGGATACACACAACACGGTGGTCTGAGACCGTTTGGCGTCTCCTTCATCTACGCCGGATGGGACCCTCGTAGACAGTTCCAGCTGTACCAGAGCAACCCTTCAGGCAACTACGGCGGATGGAAGGCGACGGCTGTCGGTGCCAACAGAGCTAGCGCAGAGAGCTTGTTGAAGCAGGACTACAAGGAAGATTGCACTCTCAAGGAGGCTTGTGGCATGGCGGTCAAGGTTCTTAGCAAGACCATGGACTCAACGAAGCTGAGCGCGGAGAAGCGTACGTTATTGCCATGGCCCCCCTTCGATCTGCGAATTAATACTAACCGAATGTAAACAGTCGAATTCGCCACCGTTGGCCAGACGAGCGACGGCAAGATCTACCACAGACTCTGGACCGCAGAGGAGATCAAGGAATTGCTGAAGGAGCATGATTTGGCAAAGGACGAGTCCACGGAGGACAAATAATGGCATGGATGAATTCAAAAACATAGATGGGGCGTGATGATTGCCCTTAACCCTGATGTACCAATAGAATTGATGCCCCCAAATTTCCGGAATCTCAGACCCCCAAAACCCTGATAGGTTGCTGCCAAGATGCAAATGCGATGCTGCGGTTTCCCAGGGTGAGCTCTATAATGGCATGTAATGCAGAGGTGATAAACCAGGCTCAAGATGAAGCAGAAGAAAGCAAGGCAAGAATGCAGTAAACACGAGTATCAATGTAGTGATTAGTCTTACGTGTGTAGATGGCTAAGTCGGTGGTTGGTTTGTTGCATTCGTACTCTATGAAGGACCCTACTGACAGTGATTAGTGTCTCTGGCTATTTAGCTGGGTCATCTCGTAGCCTACGTCGGGTCGCGAGTCCCCAGCTTCCTCCTCGTCTCGCAGGCGGTTCCACCCAGTCTTGGGGTCCGATCCAGGATATGGATGGGGTTCATGACATTCCTTGGCGGTCAACTTCGGCCAGTGTCGTCGATAACTCCAGTACGCAACCACGTAACCAAGCAAAGAGCCCACGGAAACATCATATACGTCGTGTCTATAGTCCTCACACCGGCTGATGGCGATGAGTGCAGCCCCCAGCAGCGGCAGAAGGCAAATGAGGGCGCGGCTAAGGTCTCGGCCTCCACTGTTGTGTCGGAAAATGTGCAGCTGGCCAGCCAAGAATAAGCTCAAGAAGCCAAGTCCAGAGAAAGAGAAAGACGAATGGCCCGACGGGAAGGACCGCCAACCATCATGGAGGAGATGGTGCGCAGTCTCAGTGCAGACATCGATGGTAACAAGCACGTCAGGCTTGGTGCCAGTCGCCGGCTTACATCTGGCCAACAAATCGGGACGCGGTCGGCCGACAGTATTCTTGACGAGGTCCGTGAGAAAGGAGCCCATGATGATGGCGATGGCAAAGGACAGGTAGGTGACCTCGTGCTTGTGAGGCGATGCTTTTGTGACAACATTATACGCAACCAACACGCCCAGCGGTATGAAGAGGGCGTATACAAAGTTCATGTCTAAGAAGGTATCAGTCATATTCTCAAGAAAGCTCCAAGGCTCCATCTGTGCACTAACAAACAGGTACGCGCTCGACCTCGGCATGAGGGTATGAGATATGCAGATCGTTGATGAAGAACATGCGGTGGAATGGCTCAATAAATAACAGCATCTAAAGAAGTCATCAGCACTGGGAGCTATGCCATGAACATGCATCGTGAAGAACCTACCACGATCCACCCAGTAAGGAGAATCGCAAATCCGAGGTAGTCTGGCGCATGAGTTCTCTACAGGTACTCTGTCAGACGATCTCGCAGCCTTGCTTGTATGAGAAGAACCCGAGCGAGTACGCTACCTTCCAAAACCTGGTGAATGCGGATGCGACAGCATTTCCGCTTGAACCACTGTCCCGACGGGCTGGGGCCATCTTGAGCAGTCACCGTCGTCGAGTTGCACGAAAGGCTGCTTGAAACATCGACGACTTCTTGCTGCGACGGTGGGTGTTGATCGAGGGAGCGGTAGTGATGAGAGAGCTCAAACACCCAACGTGAGCCGGGTCTATAAGAATCAAAAGGAGCGACGGCAGACAATGAAAGCTGAACAAGCGCCAACGACTAGCCGCAGTCACTTGATCAACATGCAGATCCTCCGGCCAATTGTCCCTGGGGCGAGCCTTCCACCTTGAATGTCTTCCGGTGTATGTGGCGTTTTGATTGGGGGATTCGAGCTCGTGAGCTGTGACGCTTTAGGTCCCGAGCTGGCTGCAGACGCGGGAACCTCTGGAAGCTGCCTTATCTTATCGGATGCCCGAAGATTCTCCGCCTCAATTCCGCTCCTCACATCAACACCTCCGAAAATCAACAACTTTATCGTGATCGTGATCTGACGGTTAGCATCACAGACACTACGAGCGCACCATTTCTTAACCTTGCTCAGTATGCTCAAGTCAACGTACAAGCCGACCGCAAATACTGCGACACCTCTTCCTCTGCTTCCCGGATGGACAGAGCACACTGCGCCAAGCGGACATAAGTACTACCACAACAGCCAAACACAAGAATCGACATACACAAGACCCAGTGCCCCGGACGCTGCTGCTGCACCTTCAACGGCTTCGACGAGCTTCTTCCAATATCAGACCGTTCCCCAACTCTCCGATCCCAACGTCGCAAACGCATATCTTGCACAATACAACGCGCAAAACCAGCCTCTGCCTCAGCGAGGAGGTTTCGGTCACGGAGGCAGGGGAGGTAGGGATGTACGCCCGCGTCCCGAGCCGGTGGACAAACCAAAATATAAGGTGCCGATCCCCGGATGCGAGCCCTGGTTACTAGTCGACACAAAGTACGGGCGCCGCTTTGTCTATAATCCCGAGAAAAATGCTAGCTACTGGCGCATTCCAGAAAAGCTTACGGCTGGTATCTTGGAGGTGGACAAGGCCAGAATCCGCGAGAAAGCTGGGATCAGAAGTGTCGCAGAGACAGACAAGGAGGGACCACCGACAGCCCAAGCTCGACCAACACTAGATGCTACGGAACCCACGACCTACGACAACAACGAGGACAGCTCAGAGTACGAGGAGGTTGAGGTTACGGATGACGAAGTAGAGGACCAAGATGGGGAGGACGGGCCTGCTTCCAAGCGCCAGCGTACAGAAGATCCGGCCGATGACGCGCCTGTAGAATTCAGCGAAGCGGACATCGCTTTTCAACTGCAAGCAATGGGCGATGCCTACGGACTAGACCCCGGAGAATATGACGACGGGAATATAGACGAGTGGCCTGAAGGTGCAGAGGGGGTCGAGTTCTCACAAGAAGACGCCGCCGCGTTGTTCCGAGATTTACTAGAAGACTTCAACATCAGTCCCTACAGCACGTGGGAGAAACTG